TCATTTTTTTTCTCCTTCAGCCTTGAGATTTTCCTTGGCTCCACTCACAGGTGGAATTTAGGGATAGAGAATTTGTATTAATTTATTAATTTTTTAAAAATTTTTTAAATTTTTTTTTTTAAATTTAAATAAAATTTAATTTATTAAAAATTGGGATTTTTTTTTTTTTCTTTTTTACCTTCAGGATTGTTGAGTTTCACTGATCTGAAATATCCAGGAGTTTATTGTGAGTGGAGAAAGAGCTGAGTTTTTCCAGAAGATTCCACTCAGGGGTTAAAGAGGCTGCTCAGAGCAGGCAGGAGCTGTATTTTTACAGCTGGGGGTTGGAGTTTATTGAGATTAATTCAGAACCATTTCCATCCTCATCTAACGCTTCCTCCTTGCTTTTATTAGAGAAAAAATAATCTTTACTAATACAATTAAAAATTATTTCTTTGAAAATAATTTAATATTTTAAAAATAATTTAAAAATATTATTAATATGATTTAATTTTTAAAATTTTAAATTTAATTTTAAATTTTAATAGTAATTCCTAAATTGATATTATTAATGTTTAATTTTTAAATTTTAAAATGAATTTAAAATTTTAATAGTAATTCCTAAATTAATGTTATTACTATTTATTTTTTAAAATTTTAAATTTAATTTAAAATTTTAATAATAATTCCTAAATTAATTTTTAATAATTTTAATCACTGTTTTTTAGGAGTGATTATGGAATTCTTTTTCCAATAAGAGGGAAATTTCCATTTCTGTTGTCCTCCACCTTTGAAGGAATTTGCTGCAGCTCTTCCTGTCTTCTGTCATAATGACTCTTAATTACTAAAAGATCGCTAATTAGTGTGTTTTTAATAACAAACAATTCGCTGTCACTGCCTGAAATTGCTGTTTATAAATCGATGTGGGGCTTCTTCCCTGCCTCTGCTCACCAGAAACATCCAGGAATAATTCCTTGGATTCTCCAGGCAGATCCCAGGGCTGATAAACCGGAGAAGTTCAAAAAACCTGGATTGGAATATTTTGATTTGAAGGCGGTTTTGGATGAAAAATGGATGAAAAAAGACATTTTTTGTGCTGGTGGATGGATGAGGAATGCTCAGTCTCGTCCATCACTCTCAGTTGATTAAAAATAGAAATTAATGTTGATTTCTGCCTGCTTTTTACCCCTCAGACAAATCCCACCCTTCTAAAAATGGGGAAAAAAATTCAGGTTCACCTGAATAATTAAATAATTCATAATTGAATCATGTCAACAATAAATAACTGAATAATCAGTGCCAGGCACGGTTTTTCCAGGGAATTTCTTATCCAGAGGCACCAACACTTAGATTGGATTCATTTTTAAGCTTAATTCCCAGTTTTCCTAGGGCATGGAGACAAGATTCAACTGCTGAGAGCGCTCTGACCTGTTGTGCTGAGGGTTGGAATTCCTCCAGCTGGGAATCTGAAGTTTGGGAATCTCTCCTGGGTTTGGGAAAGCCAAGATTTCATCTCTGATAGCTTTTTTATTTAAAAATGTGATGATTATTTTGGGAAAGAGCCACAGAGGAAGATCCCTTTCCTATGGATAATCACCGGAGAGTGTGAGCAGCAGTCTCATATATTTCAATTTTTAATTTTTTTTATTTTTTGGTGGGAATACTCCTCGTTTCCAGGTGTTTCAGCCTTCCCCCAACACACAGAAATTTGGGATTTTCCTTCAGCAGCTGGAACGGCGTCAAATCCTGGGATTGACCCAGCCGGGAAAACAACCCAGGTTTGGGAACACCGAAAACAGGGGAGGTGGGAAAACAACCTGGCCTCTTTCCCAGCTCCCAGGGGGAACCGTGGGACTGCTGGGATGGCAGCAAATCCCCGAGGGATTCGGGAAGGGAGTGGGGATGGGAATGTCGGAGGGAGCCGGGATGAGGAATCCCCGAGCGGCGCCGTTGGTGGAAATGCCGGCTGTGTGCTCACATCTCCCTTCCTCACTCCTCCATCCCAAATCTGCCACAAACCCGAGCTGAGCTGCATTTCTGGAGAGATTTTTTTTTTTCTGGAGAGCTTCTCCCAACTTTTAAAAATATTCCTCACCATCCTCATCCTCTTTGGGAATTTTGAGCATTCCCTCAGTACCAAAGCGCACAAAACCAGCGCCTGTTTGATGCTGGGAATTGTTGGAAATCCCAGTGCCAAAACCTCAACCTTTTCAGAGCTAAATAACGTCAATTTCTTGTGCACTGCTGTGATGTTTGTGGGAATGAATATTCCCAGGACTGAACGCTTGGAATTGCGGGATTTCTCTGCAGTCAGTCCTTGGGAATTGGGCATATCCTTTTATAGAAATAAAAGGGGTTTTTTTTCATTTCTATTTGATAGAAACAAAGCCGCAGTTCAGCTTTTTGTTGTTGTTCTGTTCCTTTATTTCCTGTCAGGACAGAGAAATCCCAATTTTTTGGGGCAATTCTGCTCAGCAGCCAGAGGTGGGGGCAGTTCTTTGCTCTTCAAGGTGGGCTTTGGACCTGGCGGGTTCCAGTGATCTTTTCTGCTCGACTGCTGCAGGCAACAGGAAAGAAAATCAACATTTCCAACATCTCCTGGAGCAAAACTCTCTGTGTCTTTGCCCTCCAGCTTTGCTGCTGCAGCTGAGCCAGCGAGGGGTTGGAATTGTGATGAGATGTGACAGGGAAATTGAGGTTTTTTCACACGTTTGGGTTGTTTCCCTGCCCGTTCCAGGGTCAGGAGACCACGGATCAGAGAGTGGAGAGGGTTTGGATTTCTGCTGGCGGAGCTGGGTTGGATCCTCTGAAACGCTCCTGGGTTGGAGGAGGGGACGGGAATTTTGGTGTCGGTGTCGTAGGAGACTTTTCCCGTGGACAGCATCCCCTGGCAAAGCCCTGCGCGAGGTGGGGATGCTTCAAGGCTCTCTTTGTTGCGGATAAAAGGTTTATCTATAAATTATGGAAGGCTAATAAAAGCCACATGGCTTTATTGCTGTTTTTAAGGAGGGTTCTGTCGGTGCCCTGAGCACTGCAAACAAAATTGTTCCTGTCCTCCTGCGCGAGGAATGCGCCGGGGCGGGGAAGATGTGGGAATTTTGTTTGTTTTGGTCTCCGAGTCTGGCTCCAGCGCGGACCCTGCTTTGTGTGCGCTCATTCCAGCTCGCCTTCACCTTAAAAATGGAAATTCTCCAGCGTGGAGCAGGAGATTCTCACTGCCTCAGTTATTTCTCAGTCCTCTGCTGCTCGTTCCTTACAAAACAAGAAGAGAGTGAAGCTCTGAGAGGTTCTGGCTGTTGAGGAAGTGACTTTTAATGGTGATGGCACGAAACCCTTCAGCTGTAGCTCCTCATTCTGTCGAAGAACTGTTTGGAAAGCATTATAAATAGTGTTTTTCCGTGTTTCAAATCTATTTGTTTCACTTTCCTTTCAGCTGTCAACACTTCAGATTGGAACTGAAATGCCTTATTCTTTTAAGACATCTTCATTTCTTACCAAGCAGCTCGTCTGTTCTCATTAGTGGATCTGTGACAGTCTCAGAGTTAAATGTGAGGAAGGTTCTTGGGGTATTCAGAGATGAAAAAAAAAACAACTTCATGTCTTTCCAAAGGGTTTGTGGAAGGCTCAGCCAGGTTCCTGAGCTGTGGTTCGGCAGAGCAGAAACCTTGTGGCAAATTTGACTTCGATGTGGCTGCTGCAAACCTCATTAAAGACATGAATCACCTCATTTAGGGCTTTTAAATATCTTGTAATTAGTGATCTTGCAGGTGCTGGAGCTCTGAGGAGATGATGGGAGTTTGGGGCTGGTTTTACTAAAGCCAGGGGTAGGGCCTTTCTAATCTGGGCACTTGAGGTTTGAGAATTAACGTGGAATAAAATCAGAGCGGTGTTTGAGACCAAATGCTTTGCAGGGTTGGAAGGAGCAGAGAGGATGGGGAGGGTTTGTGGTCAAATTCAGAGATTCCAAATTCAGTGGCTGGGAAATTGCAGAACCCTCCCTCAAGTGCTGAATGAGCTGCTTTGCTCCCAGATAAATCCATCGAGTGTTGTGTGGAGTCGGATCTTCTGGGGTTGACTACAAAATATTGAATTGTTTCACGCGGAGGGTGCAGCCTGTCTCATCAGTGGGCTTTAGGTGTTGTATTTCTTCATGATTCCTTGGGAATCCAGAATTCCAGAGGGAATCACCATTCCAGCTGGTGTCTCAGGCCTTCTGATGATGGACAAGCACTGAAATAATTTTTTCCATAAAAACCAGGCCCTGAAGTTGATTTTCTGGCTCCTGCCCGCCCAGTCGATGCCGACTGGTGGTTACTGGTTTCACTGGCTGGGGAGGCGTTGTTCTCCGTTCTGGAGAAGTCAAACAGGTGACAAGTTGTACCAGTCTGATTCATTAGATCCCATTGGGAGACACTAAACATCTGCGTTAATGAGGATGCTAATTAACAGGAGGCAGAGCCCAGAGCAGGATCCGCAGCTCTGACGGGAGGAGCGTGGAGATGGAACGGGAAGAAGTTTCCTTTAACCCAGGAGTGGTGCCACGGGGTCAGCTGGGATCATATTCCCTCTCCTTTTAATGCCATTGATCTCCTGGCTCTGAGCCTTTTATTTCTGCTGCAAAATGGGGGAGGCACTTGGAAGCGCTGTTTGGAGTTCAGGGCTGGCACAGCTTGGATTTGTCAATGTACAACTGCTTTTACATCCAGCCAGAGCAGTAACAAATTATTGACATCAGAGATTTTAGTGAGTGATTAAAAAAAAACCACAAGTACAGTCACAACTTTTATTTTGCACCGAGTCCTTTCCTCAGGTTTTTGCCCACAGAATGGAAATGCCTTTAAAAAAAATCTCTGATTGCAGAGTGGAAAATAAACCCTGAGCATTTAAAAAAATACGTGAGCGTTGCAAAAGGGGGCGCAGAGCCTTTAAAATCCTCCTCCTTAACGGCCTTCAAGCCCTTCCTAGCTCGGGTGAGGGTGCTGGAAGTGCCCCTATTAATTCCTTGTTTCGTTTCTTTGAAGCAAATGGTTATGAGCCTTCGAGTTTCGGAGCTGCAGGTGCTGCTGGGCTACGCGGGGAGGAACAAGCACGGCCGCAAACACGAACTGCTGACCAAAGCCCTGCACTTGCTGAAGGCTGGCTGCAGCCCCGCCGTCCAGATGAAAATCAAAGAACTCTATAGGAGAAGGTTCCCCCAGAAAATCATGACCCCAGCAGACCTGTCCATCCCCAGCGTGCACTCCAGCTCCATGCCGGCCACGCTGTCGCCATCCACCATTCCACAGCTCGGCTACGACGGCCACCCCGCCACGTCCCCCTTGCTCCCCGTGTCGCTGCTGGGACCCAAACACGAACTGGAACTGCCCCACCTCACCTCGGCCCTGCACCCCGTGCACCCCGACATCAAACTGCAGAAACTCCCTTTCTACGACTTGTTGGATGAGCTGATCAAACCCACCAGCCTCGGTAAGAAAAACTGCTCGCGGTGTTCGGGGGATTCGCGGTCAAATTGAAATGGTGCAGCAAGTGGTCAATGTCACAGCAGTGTTTAGAGAACTGCAATTTTTGGTAAATTTTGGGACAGAAACTCCCTTTCTATGACTTGTTGGATCAGTTAATCAAACCCACCAGCCTTGGTAAGAAAAACTCGCGTTTTTTTTGGGGGATTTGTGGTGAAATTTGAGTTGGTTCAAACTCAGATGGTCAAATTGAGCTGCTGCAGCAGCAGCAAGTGGTTAAATATTGCATCACAGCAGTGTTTAGAGAATTGCAGTTTTTGGTAAATTTTGGGACAGAAACTCCCTTTCTATGACTTGTTGGATCAGTTAATCAAACCCACCAGCCTGGGTAAGAAAAACTCGCGGTGCTTTGGGGAATTCATGGTGAAATTCAAGTGGTCAAATTGAGCTGCTGCTGCTGCTGCAGTGTTTAGAGAACTGCAATTTGGTAAATTTTGGGACAGAAACTCCATTTCTATGACTTGTTGGATCAGTTAATCAAACCCACCAGCCTCAGTAAGAAAATCTCGCGGTGTTTTGGGGGATTTGTGGTGAAATTTGAGTTGGTTCAAACTCAGATGGTCAAATTGAGCTGCTGCAGCAGCAGCAAGTGGTTAAATATTGCATCACAGCAGTGTTTAGAGAATTACTATTTTTGGTAACTTTTGGAACAGATTGTTCTGCATGGAGAGACGTCTTACCTAACACTCATTAGTTGCTTTAGCTGAGCCTCTAAATATGATTTAAACATCCATTATTTTTAAAGGAGGGGGGGGGGCTTTGACAAGAAACAAATCCTAGAAAAAAAGGAAAAACAACCCCCAAACCATTCTGCTTTCAGGAGTTCTTATAAACCACAGAGCTTCATTATGATAAAAAAAACAACCCCAAACTAAACAAAACTACCCCCAAATCCATCAAGCTTCTAAAATGTTCTGATCTGTGCTGGGAAGGGGTGCCAGGCTGGAAATTCGCTGGCTCCTTTGCAGTCTGAACGTCTGAATTTAGGGAATTTGTGGGTTTTTTGCTGTTGTTGGTGTTTTTCTGGCAGCTGATTTTGGTATGAAGGTCTAAATCACTGCTGGAGCTGCTGAGAGGAATCTGCTGCTCCCAGAGTATTATTATATATATTGATATATTTATATGTTAATATATAGTATATATATTATTATATTATTATACTATACATTATTATTATTATTATATCACGGTATGTTATACTATATTATTATAATATAACTATAATAGACTATAATATAATGTAATATAATAGACTATAATGTAATATAATATAATATAATATAGTATAATATAATATAATATAATATAATATAATATAATATAATGTAATAATAGATATTATAATAGATATTATAATAGAATATAGAATAGAATAGAATAGAATTATATTATATATTATTATAATAATACATGTAACATATTACATATTATATAGTATATTATATTACAGTATATTACATTACAGTATATTATAGTATTATATATAATATAATAAATTATACAATATAATATAATTTATGCAATTTAATATATTGTAGTATATATTATATAAATATATAATATATCTGTTATATATTATATATACATCATTATATTTTATTATTTTATAATATATAATACATATATATTATATGATGTATTATATATACTATTTAATATAATATATTAATGTGGTATAATATATATTATATCTATTATATGATATATATACTATATCTGTATATATGTGTTATATATAATATTCTGGTGGTATATATTTTATATATATACATATATATAAATATATACATATATATACACACATATATATACACATATATACATATATATATACACATATGCACATATATACACATATATATATGCATATATACACACATATATATATATATATATACATATATATATATCTATCATATTATATATCATTTTATGGGATTGTTTTTTCTTGCCCGGAGCACTTCACATCACCCTTCACTTCTCATACCCCTCAATATTCCCTAAAAAAAGCCCCATTCCTGGTGATTTCTGTGGCTTGGAACCTTGAAACCAGCAAAGATTCCTGGCTGGTGGGAGGAGCGGATTTGTGAGAGGAGATTTGGGGAGAGAAGGGTGGGTGAGTGAGAAAAGAAACAAAACCCCAAAGCTTTGCAGAAGAAATCCCGAGTAAACAAAGCTGAGCAGCGACAGCCTGGGGGGCTGGGGCTGTCTGTGCCCTTCTGCCACCCTTATTGGTGTTTGTTTTGCTTTAGTTGATGTGAAAAGCAGAGATTTTGGTCATTTAATCTTCTTTTTAGGTGCTTTCCCACCTGATGTGGGAGTGCTCAGGTTGTCTGTGAGTTCTGAAGGCTCTACCACACTTTTTTGTATTTTTTTTTGCGTTAGCTGCCGCAATTTAGGAAAAAAACAGAGATTTTGGTCATTTAATCTTCTGTTTCAGGTGTTTTCCCACCTGATGTGGGAGTGCTCAGGTTGTCTGTGCATTCTGAAGGATCTGCCACACTTATTTATATATTTTTTTTTGCTTTAGCTGCTATAATTTAGGAAAAACCAGAGAGATTTTGGTCATGTAATCCTCTTTTTCAAGTGTTTTCCCACCTGATGTGTGAGTGCTGAGGTTGTGCATTCTGAAGGATCTACCACACTTACTTGTATATTTTTTTTGCTTTAGCTGCTCTAATTTAGGAAAAACCAGAGAGTTTTTTGTCATTTAATCTTCTTTTTAGGTATTTTTCCACCTGATACGTGAGTGCTGAGGTTGTCTGTGCATTCTGAAGGCCCTACCACACTTATTTGCATTTTCTTTCTGGTTTATCTGCTGTAATTGAGGGAAAAGCCGAGACATTTTGGTAATTTAATCTTGTGGTTCAGGTATTCTTCGCCCTGTATCTATTTAGCTTTAATCTCAACCCTAATTGATTAATAACCATTCCAGGCAGTGCTGGTGGTGGGAGCTAATGAGGTGCTCAGTATGTGTCTCATCACTTTTCCATTAGAAACCCTTCCAAATCAGGCTGTAATTTCCAGGAGACAGCTCAGGAATGATGCTGGGCATTTATTTATCGATTCCTGGATGTGGGAAGAGCTCACAGACCGGCCCCAAACGCGGGATTTTTCCCCTTTGTGGTGTTTCAGGGTAAGGAAATGTCAGTGAAATTCCAAGCAGATACCTTTGGAAGCAATCCCTGTGCTTCCTGTTAACTTCAGGAATGTTCCAGGCTTTTGTTTAATGTGGGAATTCTGTTGGTTTGAAGCAATCCTATTAAAAAAAAACAACCTTTGAGTTGAGCGTTTGGGGGAGCAGATCATAAAATTCTGGAATGGTTTGGCTTGGAAAGGACCTTAAAGCCCATCCCTGCACCTTCCACCATCCCAGGCTGCTCCTTGGACACTTCCAGGGATGCAGAAGCAGCCACAGCTTTTCTGGGAATTCCATCCCAGCCCCTCCCTGCCTTGTTCAGGCTCGGATTCATTTTCTCCATTTATTCACTTCCCCAGAACTTGGACTACAAAAGCTGAAAGGATTTGAAGAAGATTTACCCCAGATGGTTTTGGGCACCAGTGTGGGTTTCCTCCAGTGTCCCCTGTGTGGGTTCCCTGGTTTGTTTTCTGCTGGCAGATATTCCTGCAGACACTCAGAATTTGGAATTCAGCCAGCATTTCAGCATCTCCTGCTTTGCTTTTTTCCCATCAGATTACTCATGGGATAGGGATAAAGAACTTCTGAATTGACTCTGTTTCCCTCCCCCTCAAGGATGAACTGATGACCCCATGTGGGGTTTGGAATAATTACAGAACCTACTGGAAGATGAAAAAAAAAAATCAAAATATGTGAGAGAAAATTTGAATAATTCCCATTTCAGATCCTCCTGAAATGCCATAAAACTGGGCAAACCACATCCTGGAGTGGTGGGATCAGCCCTGCTTGCTCCCAGGTGCAGGTGGCACAGCTGGGAAGGTTTGCTAGAATTTTCTGTCCCTTTCAGAAGAGTTGGTTGATTGAAGAAGCAATAATTTGAGAAAAGCCTCAGGGCAGGGAGTTGCCCAGCAGGGCATTCTGTACCCAAATATTTCGTGTGGGTGGGTGAAACACAGCTAATGTGAGGAACAGATAAGGAAATCAAATCTGCTCACTCTTATTTGTAAAGGAACAAAAGGAGGAAATAGAAAATCTTGTATTTTAAAGGAGGAAAGAGAAAATCTTGTCTTCAAAAGGAGGAAAGAGAAAATCTTGTCTTTACAAGGAGGAAGGAGAAGATCTTGTATTTAAAAGGAGGAAATAGAAAATCTTGTATTTTAAAAGGAGGAAGGAGAAAATCTTGTATTTAAAAGGAGGAAATAGAAAATCTTGTATTTAAGCACAGCCTGGGATTCAGAGGGATGGGCTGGATTCATGGAATGCAGGGATTTCTCCATCTCTCCCCTTCTCACCAGCACCTTTTGGTGGCCAAATCCCAGAATCCCTGAGGCTGGAAAAGTCCTCCAAGATGATGGAATCCAACCTTTGATGAGCACCTTGTCACCAAGCCCAGGCCCTCCTCGGACACTGCTGATGTGAGACAAAGAGCTTTTTGTTCCTCTGCAGCCGAGCTCTTGAATTTGATCCACGTTTTTATTAGCGACCCTCGCTGCCAAGAGCGGAAAACATCGGGATGGGATGGGTTTGTGTGTCCCAGGCAGCCAGGAAAGCTCCTCCTTCTGGGAATGCGTCTCTTTTACACCATTTAAAGTCATTTTTATTTATTTATTTTAATTTTTTTTTTAAAAAAGGCCTTTTTTGTGTTTTTGTCCACTCCAGCTTCGATGGAATGCGTGCAAGTCTCTTTATTCCCCTGCTTCTCTGTTGTTTCTCTCATAGGATCCAAAGAGGAGAATTGAGGTTGTTTATCAAGTGAAGCTGCAGCTCTCACTTAATTCCCCCATTTCCAGCCCCCAGAGCTTAGACTT